TGTTTGAGAGTAGATGTGACAGATTTGCGTAGAATAGGGTAAGATGTTATCATGAACGGAGATGAAAGGGCTTTTTTTCCAACACGGAGATGTAGCATGGATCAAAGCATTTTTTGTTGGATTTCAGCTTTGACAAGCGGACATCAACGCAGTAGTATTTTAGCAAGCTTACGAACGCATATAGGATACCATCAGGATTGTCATTGGTAAGTTGAAGAGGAGATACTTTTACGATGTAAATGACAGTAGAAATAAGTCCTACATATGTTGTTGTACTTCGTATTGGTTTAATATTCATGTAGAGTATGAGACATTAAGTGAAAGTTTTCTGAGGTACATCTATCTGCAATAATTGTCGGAAGGCAAAAATAAATAAATAAATATCTCAGGCATTTTTTATTTTGGCTTGGCATGACGGCCCTTACGATCGACTTTTTATGTATGTCTGCATTTATCTGCAATTGTCCGAGGGCAAACAAAATAATAATAATAATAAAATAATAATAAAAATAATAATATTAATGATAATAATAATAAATGATAATGAAAATAATAATAATAATATGAATAACTAATAATAATAATAGTTATTTTTTTTGAAAAAGTGTGGCCGGTTAGGGGTACGCTTTTTGCTTTGTTTTCCAAAAAAAAAGCTGTTTAGAGGGATCGTGTGTGGAGTATGTGCGCACGAGAAAAAGAATAATTTTCATGCACAGGGGCGTGAAAATTTAGCCATGGCTGTCTGTCTGTCTGTCTGGTGTCTGTCTGCGCGCCCTAAATACACACCAGACTCGGGCCCATTTCACCATCTCGGCACCAAATTGCAATTTAAAACTTGCGCACAACAAGTAAATATTTTGCCCAAGCTGTCCCAACCGCTACCACCTTTGCAATCCGTGGTCGGTGTCTCGAGATGGCACACCGTTTGTGCAAAAAATATATATGTCACAAGGGCGCATCCCCGGGAGGCGTCGTCATTTTTCTTTTTTTTTGGGCAACAAACTACACGCACGCAAGAAACCACGAAGCACTGCCGTGCTGCACAGACTGCTTCTGCTACTGGCAAGACACGCACTATACAGAGACAGGGAACATNATTTTGCCCGAGCTGTCCCAACCGCCTTTGCAATCCGTGGTCGGTGTCTCGAGATGGCACACCGTTTGTGCAAAAAATATATATGTCACAAGGGCGCATCCCCGGGAGGCGTCGTCATTTTTCTTTTTTTTTGGGCAACAAACTACACGCACGCAAGAAACCACGAAGCACTGCCGTGCTGCACAGACTGCTTCTGCTACTGGCAAGACACGCACTATACAGAGACAGGGAACATG